TGTAGAGGAATTTTAATAAAATGATGTGAATGCAGCAGCCCCACACATTCTGAAAAAATGTTTTCAGGGCCCCATTAGCCTTCTAGATACTCAGAAAAATGCGGCTTCCTGCAGAGAAAAGGGAAGTGAAAGAATAGGACATGATTGGGGTCCTTCCGCGCGCTGTGATTTAGTGTGGAAAGTGCTGCCTTGTGTCTGTTTTAATTCTTGCACACACCCGCCTTCCGTGGATCTGCCCGGCCTGCTCCACGGCCTGTTCCACTCAGCACTTCCCCTGGGCTAAGGGGGACCTGATTGCAGAGCCTCAGTGCCTCCCGATGAGAAGCCCTGATTCCATTAGCATTGCAGGTTGGCTTCTAGGCTGCGACATTCTTTGGTAATTTGTTTATGGTTGAAACCTTGCAGAGTCTCACTTCTTTAATCTAACGATCTGCTAATTCTTAAAATTGGAGAAAAATTAAAAAGAAAGCAAAACTACCCTATCAGTCTGCTTGTCAGTAATGAGGTATGATATTAATTCCAGAATGCGTCCCCCCCCCCAAACAGCAGTGGCTAGTATGTTATGCAGATTTCTCATGATTGATTAAAATAGTAACTACAATAAATAAAAGAAGCCCCTTTTGTCATTCTAACCTAATTACTTTTTAATTGGACTCCTTTTCTTGTTTATTTTCAGAGTATGCTTCTCTGAAGTAGCCATGGGGGGAAATTGGTCTGTTGAACAAAAATTTTTTCTCTTGGTTGGAGTTGCCAGTCACCATTCAATGGGTGTGTCAGTGTCTCCGTTTGTTTTTAGCCATGGTTTGGTCCAACGATTATTTTTTTAAATTTATCACCTTTTCACTGTGATTTCCCACTTAAAATAGATATTATTTCTGATTCTACCGAGCAGATAATTCATGGCTCTGGTAAGCAACATTAAGAGCTAAAGAGTAAAACAAATTTTCATTTACTATGGAAGGTACAGCGATGAAGGGAATTTCTCCCTCCCCTTCTGAAGGTTTGAGTTTTTGCTGAAATAAACTAACAATTGACAGATTCCCAGGAAAAAAGACATACAGATTTATTAATGTGCATATATGCATAGGAGCCACATAAAATGTGAGGCTCAAAGAAGGGCCAGAAGGTTGAAGTCTTCTCCATTGTTAGTGGAGGGGAGTGGCAATTTGAGAGGAAAAGCGAAGGATTGTTAGAGATGTGTGGCTGAGAGAGCAGAGAACAGCCTGGGCAGGTGGCAGCAAATTCTGGGAAGGTGAGGGGTGTGAACCATAGTTGTCTTATTCAGATACCGTCTCTTACCCTACAGCCCTTGGAGGAAAAATTAGGAAGGTAGGTGAAAAACTTGTCCTCGAGTGGTGTCCTGAGGTGGAAACTTTTCCTTTCCTGCCTTGCTACCTATGAGTCAGTCTTCTCTGCTTAGCTTAGATTTCAGCAAGGGGGTCCAAGACAATTACATGCCTTCTGGGTAAACTTCCCTCTGTCAGACAAGGGGACTTCTGTGAAAGGAAGGGGGTAGGCAGAGAGAGACCTTGGTTCTGAGGCTTATTCCTGAGGCCCTTAAGTCTCCTTTGTTCAATGCAGTCAGTGTGGCTGAGCACCATAATTTAGGGGTATCATTTTCTGAGCCTCAACAAAGGTTTTCTGCTTCTTTAATACCGGTGGCAGGTGTTTAACTGCTAGGGTTACAGGAACTTTCTCCAGGTGTGATACTAAATGCCAACATGGAGAGCCTGGGACAGGCAAACGTGTTCTTCCACTGTCTCACGGGCACTGGACGTTAAACTTGATCATTCAAAAACAGTTTTCCTAAAGCCAAAGATGTGCTAGCTGCCTACCCTAGCCTCTCTTCCAAGCTGTTATCGCCAGTGTCACCAGTTTGGTAACTCCATGGATGTCATCAAACCACAATTTGGCCGTTTTCCAGTAGTCCTCACAAGCTGTAAGCCCTGACTGGATGTGTTGATGTCCCAGCGTTCTCTGAGAGCATTGCTCTGTGATGCTGTATATGCACTTGAATTGCTCCTTGTGATAAATTCTGCCAGCCCACATCCTGCCTGTACTGGTAATTTCTGACACACGATACTTTAGCATTTTCCATCTAGAGCTGTCAGAGTTTTATTTTTATTATTTATCTTTTATTTTTAGAGGCAGAGACTTGCTTTGTCACCCAGGCCAGCCTACGGTGGCATCATCATCCTCCACTGCAGCCTTGAGCTGTTGGGCTCTAGCCATCTTCTCTCCTCAGCCTCTTGGGTAGCTGGGGCTACAGGTGGGCACCAGTGTACTAGGCTGGAGTTTCATTTAATATTTTTAAAAATAGCCATGCAGTGTTCTTTGGTCTTTAGTATTCTATAGAGCCCAGACTTGAGAAGTGCCCTGTTAAAATCTGCCTGTACGTTGTAGCCCCTGAACTGCCTTCTGCTCGTAGGTGATCCCAGGTCCTTCACTGCCGCTTACAGGGAGAGGAGGGTGGACAAGCTCAGACCACTTACAGGGAGAGGAGGGCGTGGACAAGCTACTGCTGCTTACAGGGAGAGGAGGGCATGGACACGCTCAGGCTGCTTACAGGGAGAGGAGGGCGTGGACACGCTACTGCTGCTTACAGGGAGAGGAGGGCGTGGACACGCT